CATCAGAACTTTATTTTGTTGGTAATTAAGAAATACTAGCTGTTCGAATTTATTAGATATCAGACGCAAGAGGTTTTTATATTGAGACTGTGTTACTACCACACCCAATTTATCTGCCTCGTCTGATAGGACATTCCTAACTTCTTTAAATTCTACGACTCTTGGGTTTGATGTTAAGGCTTCACAGAAGGAGTAGACAGCTTCATACACCTCACCATTATTATTCCCCATAGCTTCAGTGGGATTATTGACGGCTTCATCAGTCTCGTACATAATGTGAACAAAAGCTTTGTAGCATGAAGAATGATATTTCGCTTCACTACTTATCAAATCCTTGGCGCAAATACCAGACTTATTTGCAGCAATGGCACTCATATTAGTGTGTCTACTAAGGTGCAACGACGCGCTTTTTCTAACCGTATCATCTGCTCTAAACTCTTGGACGCATTGCAATTTCTCTCGTGTTTTTGTTCCCGGTTTGTATTTTGGTTTCTCGCAAAATATGCACGTCTGGGGAAGCATTGCTGAATTTATGGCCGATCTATCCACATCGCGACTAGCCCTTCTAACTTGGGGCTGCTCTTGTCCTGTTTTGCTACTCTCCGCGGTTTTCTTCGATAGAGATTGAAGATTTTTCTGGTTTACAAACCCTTTTGTACAAGTAACATGATACTTCACAGTTGATCGAGGGAAATCGTGTTTACCATTCGACAAATCTAGAATTGGCGTGAATTGCCTAATTTCTGCAGCACAATACAATCTCGCCCAAGACTCTGCATCTTTACACTGTGCCAAATTCTAATCACTCTCGCTACTGCAAATTACACAATTCTCCATTTTGAAATTCTCTGATCAAGTAGAAATAGCGCACTAACTACAACATGGACTCCAAGCCTGTTCGTACAACAGTTCCAGACTGAATGTCTGATAAACAAACAAGCAGTTGAAAGGTTTTCGCATTTTATTCTACAAGACTAGAATAACGTAACTATAGAATTACTATAACACAATAACTTTAATTTCTTAAGTTTTTATAATAGCGATTGCTGGTCGGTGTTTCGCGTACGTTTAAAAGAAAATTTAAAAACAGCTGTATCATATTTTAAAATAAGAACTAATGAAGTATGATCGTCACGTGATTTTGTTTTGATCAATTTTGAAATGTACGCGCAGAGCATGCAGATATGTCATTTCTTTTCTTAACTTATAGTTTCTGATAAAATATAAACTATATCTAGAAAATAAAAAAAAAAAACTTTATTAATACATAGATTTTTATGTTTTTCGGTATCCTCCATAATTAACAAACTCTACAATGTATTAACTACAAAATTATTTTGTTTTGAGTTTTGTTCCATATTGCTAATAAATATGCGGGTTTTCCTCTGTGTGACAAATGCGTGCCAAAAATTGCTGCACAGTTGAAAGTAGAATTTCTTTTGGAAAGCTATTAACACCCAGACAACCTGCTTAGATATTTTTGAAAGCTTAAAAGACAAGGTTTTATATTATATGGTCCGTATAATTTGTTCACTTCTAATTACAAAGTTTTAAATCAATTCGGAATTGTTGACAATGATTACGAGACTTTAAAGTTATTAAACTACGCTACAATCGCTACTTGATGGGAGTGAGAAAGTATCTGAAAACCTTAAAGAAATGATCAATTAAAGAGTTCTAAGTAAATCAAAAGATGTATAAAGCATGCAGCTACAAGTCTTTGAGGTGAGACCTTTATTTAACACCTTTTGGGTTGTTTATGTCTGAATATTCTTAGGCGGGATTTTCTCTGAGAGACAAAATGGCGGCCGTTCACTGCTTCGAAGTACGTCACTTCAAAGTCGAAATTCTATAGGAAAGCTACCGTTCTGAACGTCCTTAGTTATGATAAATGATCTTTTTGCGGAATGGACCTACCAATTTAAATACGTAGATGATATTACGGCTAGCAAAGCTTTCATCATGGTCGCAAGTCGTATTTGGTCGTATTTTACAGGTCGCTTTCATCATGGTCGCAGGTCTATTTTATTAGGTCTAAAGCCACTCGCGCTGCGCGCTCGTGGCTTTAAACCTATTAAAACACTCCTGCACGTTTTTTAAATAGCACTTCAAACACGACTACAAATTCAATAGATATACTGCCTTATTAGTATTCTCTGTATAAAGAATGTACTAATGAGGACACGACTACAATAGGTACTGCCTTATTAGTATTCTTTATATAAAGAATACTAATTAGAAGTGTTTTATCAGGTTAAAGCCACTGCACGTGACATATTATGGTTGACATGATTTGTCAATTAGCTCATGATTAACTATTAATGAGTGTTTGAAATCAATCTTAACGTAGGCACTGCGAATGTTTTAATTTGCTTCAAAAACGATCGATCTAGTAAGTTTATTGGCGAAGTAATTTTCAAAAAGTACGTTGTGTAGCTCGAGAAAATCATAGTTAAAATTTATGTAAATCCTGCAGGGAAATCCCTGTCACATATAAAGATACGACACGCTTATGATTTTTCTTTGTGTTTTCCTCATGAATTATTAAGAATTTTTGAAGTACTAAACACAGCGCAAACCAGGACGAAGGGAGAGAGGGCGTAGAAACGGCCATACATCGAGCGGACCCATCCGTGATGCGGGCTTCGCGTGGGGTAAGACGTTCTAATTGTAAACAAATATGGCTACGCGTATATGACCCATCAGAAGGTATGCTGAAACTATATATGATCCCGCCTAGACGCTACAGGATGTTTTCATCCCGCCAAGACAGGATACTCGCCTAGTGTTTATATGGACAAAATACATTGCCAAGATGAAACCATTCGGTGCTTGACGTCATATTTTTGTTGCAATAAAGGCATTTACGCATGCCCAAAAGGGAAAAATTCATCCCACCTAACCAGGATGAAGTGTTTATATGGGAATTTTTCATACTAGCTAGGCGGGATGAAGTGTTTATATGGGAATTTTTCATCTCTCTTAGGCGGGATCCCGGCATCTGTTGCTGAGATTCAGTCTAGGCGGGATAAGTGGCGGGATCATATAAACACTCTTTAGCAATTGTATTACAAGCGGGATCCCGGTAAGCATTCCGTCCAGCCTTGGATCATATAAACAGGCCCCTAATCTCATCCAATAATACTGAATCACAGCTTGTAAGGCCCTGTTTACATGAGACCAGGATGAAACCAAACTGGAATGAAAATTGACATTGCATGTCAACATGTTTACATGAGACCAGTATGAGAATCACAAAATTTTCAATTTATTCCCCTTGCCAGGCAATTAGATGACTTTTATTTGCATGTGTTGTTCACTTGTTCCAATGTCAACATTTATTCCAGTCTGAATTCATACTGGTCTGACTCAGTCGGCTTGGTCCAGCAGGCGGAATGACTTGAGACCACATGTAAACATCTATCATATATAATATAATGACCAAAACGAAATGGTCCCGGTTAATTGACTTCGTTCCAGTCTCATGTGAACTGGACCTAATAAAATCCTTCAAAAGTTGGCTAAATTTTTCCAAAACTTCAGTCAATATAGTTTTGTAGTACACCAATCCCAAGATCTGTCACTAAATTATGGGTTGATTGCCTGAATAGATATAATTCCTCAAATCATGATTTTTGAAGTTAATTTGATAGATATTTTTAATTGCATGGATTATTGTGTCATATTTTTCTGCCATTTAGCCTTAATATTGTAGACTTTTTTCAGAAAAGGAAGTGCAAACAATCGCATACAATAGCAATTCTTCTTCAACTAATGGGCAACAATTTCTAAATAGCAAGGAAGCTGAATGACTGTATGGGTATGGACTATGGATAGCTCTTTCATGGGCTCTGCTCAGTTTTGTATGTTGTAACTTATGTCGAGCCATTGCAAATGAATTTAACAAAGCCAGCGAACAAAATTGACAAAAATACACACGATTTAGTTGCACATTTCAGCTTGGGGTTTTGTACTATTTCAACTGTCAATTCGACCTCGAACTTTGAAAGGTTCAAAACCTATCTGTCTCATGTTTGCTCACTCTATAATTTTGTCTACGCAAAGGTTTTCATCATAACTTAATAACAAATTATAATTTAGGTTTTGGAAATCATTGGTTTTTATCAGGAAGCAGTGCGCGCTAACACTCTCGGACAACATTTCGACGGCCATTTTTAACCACAAATTAAACAGAGTATATAAATAAAATAACACCCGAAATAAAGTTTTTTGTTACTTAAATCTTATCTTTAAGTTTCTTATAATAGCTGAAAGTGACAAAAACATATAAATTTTACACAAGTAATATTTTATAAAGCAATAGTTTCAGCATACCTAGTGATTGGTCATATACGCGTAGCCATATTTGTTTACAATTAGAACGTCTTACCCCCCGCGAAGCCTGCATCACGGATGGGTCCGCTCGATGTATGGCCGTTTCTACGCCCTCTCTCCCTTCGCCCTGGCGCAAACAGAAAGTTCCTCTTAATTAAATATATCATCATAAGTTCTAAATAAATTACTACCTGATATTTACACCTCAGCACTAATTATACCTATGGTAGTTTGCTTACTGCTGTTTGAATGGGGCCATTCGTGCTTTAAAGAATATCAAAAATAACCTCCACTGAATACAAAAATACCCAATTTCAAAATTAACACGAGTGACTTTAATTAAATTTAATGAACGACTCAATAATGGGTGTTACCACCACTCTTCTTGATAACTTCAATGAATTATTTCCTCAGAAAGAGAATGAGGCAGCCTGGCTTTGGACCTCGCCAGATCTTAACCCAATTGATCACCAGCAAAAGCAATCTGTCTATTGTCGGTTCGAAGAATACAGCACTCTGGCCAACTTGACTCAACTGTTGCAGGAGGAATGGATGGCTATATGTCAACGACAGGTGGGCAGACGATGCCTTGAGATAATGGAGAAGTGTGGTTGTTACATCCATTGTTAGATCGTTCATGAAACATTACTGTTGTTGTGAAATTTAAATAAAGAAATTCAAATTGGTTTTTTTTTGTATTCAAGGAGGCTAAGTCATTCTTCAAAGCATGAATGACCTTGTTCTTCACACAGTATTAAGGAAACTAACATAGATCTAATCAGTGCGAGGATTGATTATCAGGTAATCATTTATTAATAACTTATGATGATATATGAGTTCATTGGCGAAGTAATTTTAAAAATAAACATCAAAGCCGAGAAAATCAAAGCCGTAGTTTATGCAAATCAGGACAAATCTTTATCCGATTTACAAGCATGGATTAAACATACATTTCTTTTGAATTATCTTCATAAACTATTAGTGAGTATTTTAAGCGTAAAAAAACGCAACAGGACTTATTTCTTGGAACAAAGTAAAGGCCGCGGGTATCTATTTTAACTGACTGCAAAAACTTGGCGCAGATCAGAGTTGATTAATTTAAAATACTCCACATTGGCGATTAAAATTTATACAAGACGCCTACTCAGGCGTTCACACGGACCTGAAAATGATGACATGCGCGCTAT